TTATAGAAATAATCTTTTCATCCATTTCTTGGTTATAATGAGTTATTATGGGATAGTCTCCATGGTTACAGGAACTATGAACAATTATTAATTTTCTCATTTCATCAAATTCATTTATAGATTAGAACTTTATTTTATGAATAAAGTTCATAGTTTGTGTTATGATTGTGCTGCTTGTTTATCTGACCTTTGACCTTTATCGCCAGCTCTGACCTCTGAGTTGATTCCCTGGACTGACCTTTGAAATATTTCAGAGCCACGGTGTGTCTCAGGACGTCCTGGTCTCTGTAGACGGTGCAGACGTAGCGTCCATCGTCTCTGTGTGTGGGATACATGAGGGTCAGGCTGACGTCTCCGGTCCTCAGGAAATCTTTCTTCATCTCTGTTCGGCAGCTGTAAAGTTTGTCCTGCTGGGCGTAGTGTTTATTCGTGTTGGGAAACACATGAATGAACATGGAACGAGGTTCTGAACGGGTCCACTCCACTGATGTGTCCTCAGGAAGCTGGGATGATGTTGCGCAGGGCAGAACGACAGAATCTGACCCTTCAGTGACCTCGACCTCCTGGTGATCAACTGAGAGGAAATAAAGAACAAAATGAGCAGAAACATTTGGATCATTTTCTGGTTTTATGTCTTCATTCAGTTTCTGTCTGCAGGGAGAAAAATCATTTAATGATCAACATAAATCAGAAACTTGAATCCATCAGTGGTTCATGTGACAGTTATTGATCCATCAGAGGGTTTGATCTATACATAGCAGATCTATAACCTGTTTGTTCTGTGGAGGCTGAAGATGAGAAACACAAATTATTCCTGGAAATTCATCCTGTAAATGTTCAGTTTATACAGTTGATCATCAGAACATAAATAATAATGTTAAAAGTAAAAAAGGTGATAAATCATGTTTTATAATCTGAATAAATATAAAGTATTTTTAAGAAGTTATAGAATGGTGCTGAATATTTATCTAAATCATTTTATATTTTATTATATTATTATTTATATGAATAAAGCTGCTGTCATTAAAGAGTCGACTGCTTTACTAAAAGACTAAAATAGTGACTGAAGTCAATAATGGAGACTTAAAGAAACATGAAATATTAATGAAATCATTTCCATTTTGTTATGAATTAACAGCAGAGTTCTAGGTTATAAATCTGTTTCCATAGTAACTCAGATTATAGAAATTATTGTATTAATAATTTAATTATAGAAATAATCTTTTCATCCATTTCTTGGTTATAATGAGTTATTCTGGGGATGGTCTCCATGGTAACAGGAACTATGAACAATTATTAATTTTTTCATTTCAACAAATTCATTCATTTATAGAACTTTAAAATAGGGAGTCCTGTTTGTTTATCTGACCTTTGACCTTCAGGTGAATCTGTTTCAGGTTCCGTTCTTCTCTTCCAGCAGAGATGCTGAAGGTGTAGTTTCCTCCATCAGACTGCTGAGGTTTCCTCAGAGTCAGGCTGAAGTTTCCAGTATCCAGAGCGTCAGGATTCATGGAGGTCCGGTCTCTGAAACGCTGGTTCTGGTTTTGAAGATCATCACTGTTTTCTCTCCGTAGGTGAACGGAGTTCGGACTGAGATCACTGCGAGTCCAGATGAGTAACGGGTCTTCAGGTGTAAAACCAAAGTAAAAGCAGGGCAGCAGGACAGACTCCGCCCCCTCATTCACCTCCACCACTCCACCCAGAGCATGCTGGGAAACTGAGGACACAAGACGAAGGTTTAGTGTAGAAATAATGATCAGTTATTCACTAATGATGAAAGATTTCAGTCTGTCTGCTAAACAGCTCAGTGATACTGAACTCTTATCTGATCATGTAACATATAACTCACATTAAGCAATAAGTCATAAAACTGATAAAAGTGCATTAAAATAACTTAAAAATGTAAAACCTGAAAGATTGAAACAGATGAAACTCAAAAAGCATGAATGTGTTTTTTAGAGTTGCTGTTTGTGGTTATTTGCAGAAATCCTGCTGTCAGTTTTCAGGTTGTTTTATCTCTTGTACAGATTTGATGATAAAGATTTTAGTTTTAGTATCTTGGTGATTGTTGGAGCAGATTTTGTTTCTGTGACTTTATAAAAAACTAAAATTCTTCAAACTTTATTTTTCTGTGATTTCTGGTTCTGATTCTTTATAGTTATAAAATATAAAACCTTCTGGTAACTTTCAGTCACTTTCTGCTGTGAAACTGATGCGTCTTTGTTGATCAAACAACAATTTGGACATTTCTGTATATTCTACATATTTTTATTACTTCAATAGAACCTCATTGTTACCGTCATCTCAAAAGGATTTATACACAACTACAATCTTAACACAGATGTCTAAAAATTTAATTCTAGTCATAAATACATTCCAGATGTTTGTTAAAGGATCCAGGATTAGTTGAACATGTTGGCCTCAGTATGTTGCAATTTTCCGACTGACTAAAGAATTGCTGTTTGATACAAAACTCATAATTTCATTCTGATATCATCAATAGATCAGATTTGTTTTTATAAAACCAGTAAACCAGTAAACCAGAACCCACCAGAACCTGATTCTCCTTTAATGGTCAGACCACCATCATGCATCAGCAGCAGAACATTATGACCACCAACCTGAGACTGAGGTGAATTCAGGAGAAATAAACTACAAACTACAACCACCAGGTGGCCATCTTGGATTCAAATGAACATTTATGTGAAAAACTGAAGACAGGAAGGAAAACCAGAACCTTCAACATCTGCAAACATTCATCACTGGTTTCTGAGGTTAATGTTTCTGGGAACTAATGTCCAGATTACTGGTCTGTACGGGTCTCAGTGGTTCTGATGCTGACAGAAATACAACCTGATAGAAAATATCAGAACCAGATCAGCTGCTGAACCCACACCAGAGAAATTAGATACAGACAGGAAACGGCAAAGTGGAGCCACAGGTTGGATGGAAGAGACCAGAATCCAACCAGGAACAATAAACCAGTGAGATCTACTGGGAGGACTGGTGAGAGACGAGTCGCTGGAACCAGAACCATCAACCAGCTGAGGTCACCAAGGGTCGGTTATAGAGAAGAATGGACCAGAACCAAGAAGCTCTGAGTCTGATCAGCAGCTTACAGAGACTGGAGAGGATGAGGAGCAGAGAGGAAGGTGATCTTACCGAGCAGGAGGATCATCATCATCATCATCTTCCTCTCAGAACAGAGAGTCGTCCATCGGATCCCAGCAGCGGATCACCTCTGACACCAGATCACCGTTTCTACTGGAACCAGCAGAGACACACAGAGAGGAAGAAACTCCTCTGCTGATTGGCTGATTCAGATGCTACTGAACCGGTTCTGATCCAGACCGGAAAGGCGGGACCTTCAGTTTCCTCATTCAGCCATGGAGCTGTGAGTAGGTTGAAGGTCAGGAGCTTCAGTTTCTTCAGTTTTGTTGGAGTTCCATCATTTCTGTCTCTGTGGTCCTCCAGGTCCGTTTACCAGTTTCAGGACCGACCAGAACCCTGAGAAATAATGAGATTTGGTTTTATCAAAACAGGCTGCTGAAAATGATCAGGCGTTACAAGCCATAATGTGATCCAAACGGATCAGAACCAGAGTTACATCCAGCCTGGGAAACATTTAGCAAACCTGATGGATGAAACCGAGTCCATCTGTCTTCAGCTCCTCTATTGGCCAATAAAGCTTCAGAACCAACATCACTGGGTCAGACGTAGTGAGGCGTTTACGTCTCGGTTCTTTACAGGCCACAGAACAAAACTAACTTCATCCAGTCGTGTCACTAACTCACCTGATCCTCCTTCACTACTGAACATAAACTTCTTTAATCTTTGTCTCTTTTAGCCTGGAGGCTTTAAGTTGTTCAACTAGTTGTCTCAAACGTTTCCAACGACAGTTAAAAACTTGCAGAGTTACAAACATGTTTTAACTTGATGCAGCCGTTCACTGGAAGATGTTTATGAGTTTCTGTCTCTGCTGTGCAGGAATGTTTCCTCCTTCCTCAGTTTGGGTCGAGGTTCATCTGTCACACAGACGGCCTCACTTTTAACTCTACAATATTTTAATTTAATGTCTGTGCTGCATTTTCTAACAAACTGCTTCTGATAAAGCTTAAAATGTGACATTTTAGAGATTGATTTGCTCTCTGTTGGTGCCTGGTTCGGTTCTGATCAGGACTGTAATGAAGAGGCCTTCATTACTGAATTAATTTATTCAATGTATTGTATCGCACTGTAAAAACATTTGCACTTTCTCACTATGCACTTATTTAGCACTGCACTTTTAAAATAGATCTATAAATTAACATTTTGCACTCAGGAAGTTTTAATTGTATTTATTGAGTATTTTAGGGATTGGTGTGTAGTCTTTGTTCTGGCTCTGCACAGCTGCTCCTCATTGGCCAGTGGAGGTGGTTAACTGTGAAGAGAGGAGAATTGATACTCAGAGCAATGAGCTATTGGTGGATAAAACTAAATAAATGATGTGCATAATTTATTAGGTATGGAAGGTGCTAATATAGTGACTCACCTGTCTTTTTATGTGTTCTCTCAGGATGTTTGGACAAATATTGTCCTAAGGGGCTGGACAATGATATAGGTCCTGGGAGAGACCATTGAGAAGAATGGGAGAGGGGTGTATTGTTTTATGGTGTACTGTTTTATGGTGTTTTAGTAAGGGTAAGGATAAAACATAAAAAATATTTATAAAAAGGAAGTTGATGTGGTTGTGGTTAAATGTTTTTATTCAATTAAGGGGAACAGGGTAAGATGGGATTATCTTATGAATTTTCAGATTGTTTTAACTGTCACAGCTGGGACTATTTAAGATTGTAATTTTCACCTGTGAGAGATATTGAGACATTGAGATGTTTGTAAGACCAAGAGTGTGACATTGTTTGTGATGCTGGGAGGAATAAACCTGCTGTTCCACCTAAACTCTGCCTGATATCATCAATCTGCACTGAAAAATCCAGCCGTAAAAGGCCAACCTGTTACAAGGACAGATCGATGGTTTTCCAGCCTGTCAGCTCTGCAACCTCCAGTTCTTCATCCACCAGTTCAATCAGTTTGAACATTCATTTATAACCTGAGAAGCAAACAGAGGAAACGGTTTCATTAGTGCAGATTAGGAGAAGATTAAAGGTAAAATAATAATGAACAACATCTAAAAATGAAACATTACTGTGTAAAAGTTTTAAAGCCGTCAGTTTGTTTTGTTTACCTCCAAAGATTCAAAATTGGTGTAAAAACGTCTTTTGACTGTGATCAGCTTTACAGGAACTTATTATCTCCTCTGCATCTCCACTGTATTGATCCAGATATTAATCATTTGTTGATGATCTGGGCAGAAGAAAAAGACCCAGAAAGGAGGAAATAGTTTTTATCATCCAGTAACTTGTGGATGTTTGTTGTTAAAGTTTCAGTCAGTCGGATCCATCCAGTCGTCTTTCACTACATGACCGACTTCAGTTCCTGATCCTGTTTAAAATAGTTTTTGTTTACTTTTCTAAATAAAAAACAAATGATTAATAAATTACAAACATTTCAGAATAATTCAAGAACCCTGGCAGGAAGGTCAAAGGTCACCATAGACATTAATTAGCATTAGCATAGCTAACAACATTCAGCTGCTACACATTTAATTATCCTTTTAGCTCTGATGCTAAATTATGGCCAGAAAGTTCATTTAAAAGTAAAAATAATAATAATAATAACAATAACAATAACAATAAAGAATCTGAAACATAGTTCACAACATTTTTTAAAGTTTAACATTTTCCTAAATGGCAAAAATTTCAAAACTTTTTCAGTTTCTAATCTTTTTTTTTCATTTGTATTTTTACTATGGTTTGCTTTTTCACAATTTAGTAAAAATATCCTGTTGTTAAAGATATTTATACCAATTTTGTTATACTATACGTGTATTATTATTATTATTATTATTATTATTAGTTAAGGAGGAATATTTAAGATATATATGTAAAAATCATCTTTAAATGTGAAAGGCCTTTTCCTTTTGTTTTGGATGTTTTTGTGTTATATACAAATTTTTTTTGTTAAATAATTTATCAAAGTTGTTTTTGGTTCTAAAATAATTATATCATGCCAGGTATTATCAGAGTTACTGCCAGCGAACAGCGCGGTGTTCCCGACTCCCAGAAAAACACGGTGTTTTGTCAGGAACAAGTTGAAATATTTTTCATGAGATTTTTGGGGCAACATGTGGATTTTTAGCATGAATTGACGCAGGATAGGGCTTTCCATGTGGAATGAACCTCTCTTTCTGTCTTCTGCTCATTTGTTACTTTTAAAAAGTTCACTCAGCCTCAGTTTGAGGGGAAGATAAACTGGGTCATTTTTGCAATTTGTGTTTTTTTTTTTTCTGTTTTTCTAGGTTTCTGACTCGGTTCTGTTCCTGCTCTGCAAATGAAAGCAGTGAAAATCTTACTGAAGTTGTTGAATCAGATTATTGAGATCATCACCTCTAAGAGTTCTTCATGGTGTGAAATGCTGGTTGCTCAACAAAATTACCAGAGGGTTTTATGGGTTCTTTCCAGAAAGTGATCATGAAATCTGTTTTTCCAGATTCCCAGAACGAATCATTGACGTCAACAACAAACAACCTGCAGCAACAAGACAAAAGCACAAGTTCAGAGAGTCGACCTGAAATGAACAGAGCTGGATTTAACAGCCGCCCTGATCCGCCTTTCAGCTTTACCATCTGATCCGTCTCAACTCCCAGAATGCACCTGGTTAACACTTCAACATGGTGGCACCGGGTCCAGTTCTGGTTCTGCCCTCTGACCTCTTGGCCTCCTCCGGCCTGCACAGGTAGAGATAGGCCTGGTTCTGGAGCCACAGTGATGCTGATCGGTGATATAAACTGGATTCTGATCCGAATCCTGAGACGGATTCAAGCTGCAGCTTCAACATCAGAACCAGATGAAGTTTCTTCTTCACTAAAGAACATTTCAGTTTGAGTCTCTGAATGTAGGAACTGATTTCATGAACACAAGAGAGTCAGAGAGAACCGGGTCAGAGAGAGAACCGGATAAGAGAGAGAACCGGGTCAGAGAGAGAACCGGGTCAGAGAGAGAACCGGATAAGAGAGAGAACCGGGTCAGAGAGAGAACCGGGTCAGAGAGAGAACCGGATCAGAGATCGGTTGTTAATTGTTATTAAAATACTTTTATGAATTGATAATCATTTCAGTTTCAGATGAGTGAAATTTAATTTGCTGCTTTTTTTTTTCTCTCTCCCCCTATTGAATCTTCCCATTTAAAAAGCCTCCCTGACATGTGCTTCACACATTCCTCAAGCAGGTCTTGAACTCAGACCCATCAGAACCACAAGCCATGTCTTTATGCAGTGCACCAACCAAGCACCGACCCTTTGATTTGCTCGAACTTCTACAAGTACCTCAAAGTCAGTCTTCCATGTTAAACTTTAAAACTCTAGCTGTCACTCTGGATACAGAATGTGTTTCACACCACAAGCAGGTCTTGTACTCAGACCCATCGGAACCGAAACCCAGTCTATATGCAGTGAGCCACTCAACCACAAGCCAACCTTGCTCCTCCAACTTCTATAAAGTCAGTCTTCCATGTGAAATTTTAAATTCATGTCTTGAGCATCAACATATGTTTCTCAATTGGGTAAGATTGTGTGGTCTACAGGTGAAGGCATTACAATTCAAGGACAAGGGTTCAAATCCTGGAAAGTAAAGGGATAGCTTGAGATAGGAGGTTAAATTTATCTATCGCTCCTCTGGCAATATTTCTACTCCTTGCTGTAGTACATTTTTACACAGACTGTAGTTGAAGATTTCCCAAACTGCCATTTCAACCCACAGCACTTTATTGTCTGGGCCAACCAAACTGAAAGCTGTCTACTTTTGTCTTTGAAGACGATCAAAAACCTAAAGGGAAGCTTAAAAATTGAATAACCTTGTTGCTTCATATCAATAAAGTTGTCAGGACAACTTCCTGCTCCCAGGTCTTGAACCTGCGAGATCCCAGTCCCTTTCTTTCTGTTCTGTTCTCTGTTTGCATACAGAGAGGCGATGCTGAAGAAAGCAGGGAAAGTTGAGCCAAAAGGTAGGAAGAGAGTGTAATAAAACAGCGGATAACGGCTGCCGTTCCCAGTGTACACAGTCAAAAACTTGATCTGCCAGTTGGATATTAAAGCCTGTGAACGTCTTTCAGAAATGTAGAGCACCTCATCGGCCTGGCTCCTAATTTTGTGCATCGTTCCCTAGATGGTCTCTTTCCCCCTCGGTCCGACAAGCTTTAACTTGAGGCGGCTAAACAGAACTACTTTGCAACTAAGTTACGAGCGTAGTGGGAAGCCCTCTTGGGCTCTGGTCGTATAGCAGTGCAACAGTGGAGCCAGGTCAGGAAGTCATAGACTAACAGGAAACTGATCCACTGAATAAAGGCCTCTTGCTTATTTATAAATTTAGATTTGTCATTTGAAAGAACAATGGTCGGAAAAAGCCTCTGTTACTCACCAGGGTAAAATTACTAATTACTGTTTTATAATTCTGCACACATGATATTGTACTTTAGTGAAATCACAGTTTCACCACTTTTTAAGAATCAGCAGGATTCCAGCCCTGCGCCTGTAATCAAATATGCATGATTCACCAGTGACCACCAGTGGAAAACACTATTAACAGTCATCCCATCGAGTTCAAACTGATGTTAGGCCAGTCAGAGTTCAGTTTTTGGTCACTTTAGTGTTTCAGATTGTCTAACATTGTTGAAATTTCATGTCTTGTTTTAGTTCAGGAAACTGTTGCTCAGAAAATATCTCTACCGATGTAGAGGCCTTCAGTGACAATGGCACAAACAAATATAAACATGTTTTCCTGTCACAAACCTTTAATAATGAACCTTATGACCTCTGTCCACTTTCTGCACGACAGTAAAGCGGGCAGATATAAATAGACCAGGCCATTAAAATGGAGGCCCCTGATTGGTCCCGCTCTCCCACCTTTCAGATGCAGAGCTGTTGTGCCTCTTCCACACAGAAAGAGACTCGAACCCGCGCATCAAGTGGAAGAAGAAGACAAAAGATGTCTCCTTCGTCTACTTTGAAGGAAGCTTCAGAGGTTTGTTTTAATCCAGCTGCGTCCCACCCATGCATCAGATAAGCTGATTTAATCATCAACTACTGATGAAGGTCAGTGGTGTGGTGGAAGTTTAACCTTCCATCTTTAAGTCTGAATTGTAATGAACACAAGCTCTCAGCAGGCAGATCCTGTTAATGATTGTCTTTGACCTATTGCCACCTCCTCCACTTCATTAGCCAGTTGTGGCTCTTGCTTCATTAAGAAGCATGTTTATTTGAGCTTCAGCTCTGAATGCTAACACTATGAAACTGGCAAGTTAAGTTAGTATCATTGATGCAAATCCACTCATCATACCCAACTTTTCTGCAAATTGGACCAAATCCTCTGTTCTGTTCTCAGTTTCAGAACCTCTACAACTTTAGGTTTCGATTTTAGTTGGACGATTACGCTTTAGTTGGGATTCACTGAGAAAACATCCCTTCAGTTCAATATCACTTCACTTGTTTGACTTAAAACCAGCTCTGAGTAAAGTTGACTGCAGCTGAATTTGCTACTGTGGGGGAAAAAAATTAAAAATTGCAAAGTCTTTCTTCTGCAACATTCTCAGCTTTCAAGACCTTCCAACATTCCTCCCAGGTCCCTTCGAAGGCCGAGCAACCATGGTCAGGACGACGATGACCCAGCAGAGAGTGACCCAGCACAGAGTGACCCTGCACAGAGTGACCCTGCACAGAGTGACCCAGCAGAGAGTGACCCTGCACAGAGTGACCCTGCACAGAGTGACCCAGCAGAGAGTGACCCTGCACAGAGTGACCCAGGAGGACGCCAGAGAGCACCGCTGCGAGATCAGCGGTCAGCCTGGGCGAGACCAATGTGACCCTCAACGTCTTGGGTAAGGAACAAACATAAACTGATTTTTGTTTTTTGTTTTTGGACAAACCAAAGTTCTGACTCACCCTTTCTTACTTTGTCACCCAGTGCCACTGCAAACTCCCACATGTGAAGTCCCTGCCTCGGTGGTGACGGGCTCGGCGGTCCAGCTGCGCTGTCGGGACCAGCAGAGCGTCCCGCCCGCCGCGCACTCCTGGTTCAAGGACAACAAGTCAACCAGCAAGCCTCGTCACGCCAACGCGACCCATCTAATCAACTCCCACACGGGAATACTGGTGAGGCCGCATGCAGATGAGGGAGAAACAGAAGGCGGCTCGAGCGTTTATCTTACTAAACTGAGGTTAAAGACAGAATTTTAAATGTTTTCAAATTCAGGACCATCCATATAAAACCTCTTTTTCATCATCTCAAACTGAGCCCAGGTTTATTTGTATAACACACAGGAGACAGCTGGAAGTGCTTTACGTCATTAAAACCAGGCTAAGCAGATGAGTTTTCACTCAGGGTTTCATCTTCTGACAGTTTGTTCCAGGTTAGCAGTGAGTAGAAGCTGAATGCTGCTTATCAGCATGCAGAAACAGACCACAACCTGGGTGGTCTGGAAGGTTGACGCAACAAGTCCTTAATGTATTTCAGTGGTAAGAGTATTTGAAAGTGTTCTACCTTAGAACCGCTCCATGGTTCTGGTTTTAGTGAGAATGTGAGCGCCAGCATTCTGAACCAGCGCTTTACTTTGTTTTACTACTTTTGGTCTAAAATATGCTAGAAAAACGTGATTCAAACATGACTTTGTGTAAAATCCATTGTAACATTTCGTTTTGCCAGGTGGTTCATTTTCTGGATTCCCAGTTGAAGTTTTGCTTTTCCGCAGGAGTTCAAAGCAAAGAGGACAGCGGTCGCTACAGCTGCCTGGCGTCCAACGGCTCGCCCAAAATGTGTGAGGCCGAGCACATGACCAGAGGTAAGGCTGTTCTGTTTCCCGTCTGAAAGTCCCGTCTCTGGTTCCGTAGAGACGTGAACATTGGTCTTTTTGTTTTCCCGTGGCTGCGTCTCATCTAGGAGGACACAGAGGGAAGAAAATCTCAAACTGACAACGACTTACCAGTTAGTTTTCATGGAAAACCTGCAGAGATAATTGACTTTCCCTGCAAAAATGTTGGGCCTTCCGTTCTTATCAGCTCCATTTTGGTCACTGGACTCAAACAGAACCCCTCAGACGTTTCACCTTGACAAATAAACACATTTTGTTCAGCATAAAGAAAAGGATCAAATCTTACAAGTCATGCAGAGTGACATAAAAATGGAGCAGGACGTCTTCCTGCAAGCAGACTAAAAGGAACAACATAAATCATATATCCATAATACTTCAATGTTTCAATGTGACTGCTGCTTCACCAGAACACATGTTTCAGTTCAGAAATGGGGATAATCTCCCTTCAATTTCTGCAGGATTAAAAACATCTCCATCAAACAATCTACAGAAAATTTATCTCTCTTCCTCTCGTGCGTAAATATGTTTACAGAAACAGAATTCAAACCCCCCAAAAATTTCAAACATGAAAGGATGACTTTTATCAACACGATTCCTCTTGGCTGTCATGTATTTTAAAATATTGATAACTGTCCTTCCAAATCAGTGGATCCTGGACACGGAAGATGGAGCCGGTGCTGAGAAAGACGTACTTAGAAATGATTCACTTTGAGTCTGAGCAACTCATTATCATTGTAGAAGACGTCAACTTCCGTCCATGAATATCAGATATAGATTAAAATATTAACGCCCCCCAAACCTAGTTATTATATTCAAAACAGCTTGAAGAAAAATGTAACTCTGAGGCAAAGAATCCTTGATCTACAAGA